ACTGTATTCTCTGTGCCTCAGTTTTCCTATCTATAAAATAGAGCTAGCACTGACCTATCTGGGAAAGGGGTGCTGTGAAGGTTATGGGTAACCGTGGGCCAGACCCAGCAGCTGGCGTGGTGGAGGGCGCTATTCAGTATCCCACAGGCCTGCTCACTTCCAAGGGCCCTCAGCCTGCTGGGTGGTCCCAGCAATGAGGGCCCTCAGCCTGCTGGGTGGTCCCAGCAATGAGACCTCTGCCCATGAGGACAAGAGCCGAGATGGAAGGTGAGGGAGGACAGAAGCCCCAGCGAGCTTGTTGGGGAAGGGGAGGCGTTATAGGGAAGAGGGGTGTGGGCAAGGGATGGTAGGAGAAAGAGTATCCCTCACACAAGGCACAGCTGGAACAAAGGCTGGGCAGCAGCTGGGGGCAGCTCTGGGGAGGGGAAGCTTGCTGGCAGGGCCGGGGGCCTTGTGTGGGGGGTCTCGGGCTGTAGGACATGAGACAGAGGGTCAGGAAGGACTTCAAAGGCCACAGCAAGGAGAGAGCCTCTGCCCACCATGGCCACAGGGCCCCCTGTGAGCTCTGGCCACTAGACAGCAGCTGAGTGGACAGCCTGTAGAGGGAATAGCGTGAGAGACCTCAGTGCAAAACCTCGGCCAGAGAGCAAAGTGTGGGCAGGAGTGTCCTCCAGACAGAGGAAGAGGGAACCCCAGCCTGGCTGGACAGAGCTGGCTCCTCTGTGTCCATTCTACAGAGGGGGAAATTGAGGCTTAGAGGCGTGGCAGAGCCAGTCCAAAGCGCTTTCCGTCTCCCGGGCTGCGTCAGTCTGCAGCTGCACCCCCAGAATGGGCTGCCTGCTTAAAGCAGGAGTAGAACGAAGACCTGGAGCCCCTGGGGGTCAAGGCCAGGCGTGAACCACCTCCTCCCCACCGGGCCAGACCAGGGCCTGGCCTCCAGCAAGCCTGAATGAGTGAATGAACAAGTGAATGAATGAATGAATGGGTGATGGAGACGTTGCACTCAAAACTCCAGGCTCCCCCTACTAGTGTCCCCAAATCCTACTCAGGGAAGCCCACATGACTGCTCCTGCCTCGGTGATTCTGTGCTCTCTCCAGCACAGAGGGAAGGCAAGCCGGGAGAAGGTGCATCCCGGGCAGATTCAGAGGCAGGATAGCACCCGGCACGCCCGGGGCCAGCAGAGAGAGATGGGCCAGAGCCACAGGGGCGCAGGTGTCACTCTGGGGGCAATGAGCCACCGTGCTGGGGGTGTAGGGCCGCCTGGGGAAATGCTTCTGAAATAGTAGCCTCAGAGGTGGAGCCTGGGGCTGAGGGTCAGGGGGGCCCCCAGCCTGGGCCAGGCAGTGTGGGCTCGAAGCCTCGGGCAGGGCCCCTTGGAGGATGTGCTGGGCGGCCCTGGGAGGCCGGGGCTGGGGTTGAACCGTAGCCAAGAAGTAAGTACAGTCTGGGCACCGGGGCCGTGGCATTCTCAGAGCTCTTTCCTCATTCCTGGCCCTGTGGGAGTAGCCGGACCCTGGCGTTCCGCTGCAGCCGCCACCGCGGATTTGCTTACCGTCTGGTGGGAGCAGGGGCCTCCTGCCAAGCACCCCCAAACCCCCCCGGCCCAGGCCTGGCTCAGGCCCCACAGAGCCTGTTGACCCCCGAGTCCTGGCCCCGGCCACCTCCAGCTGCCACATGGGGAAACTGAGGCCTTCTGGGGGGCGCGCACCACGGGCTGCCGTGCCCCAGGTTGGGAGGCGGGAGGGACAGGGCTTGGACTCCAGATCCAGGGCTCTCTCCTGTCTCCCCCTGGAGGGGTGCGCCCTCCTCCAAAAGCCCACCTGGTGGCCCCTCCGCAGGGATCTGGGTCTGGGGCCAGGCTCTGTGGGTGCCCAGGCAGATGGGGGCTGTTTGATCAGCGGTTCTGCCTGATGCCAGGCTGCCGGGACAGCGGGCAGTGGCCAAACCGGCCCCACCGCATGCCTTCCGGCCCGCCCACCTGGTGGCCCCTCCGCAGGGATCTGGGTCTGGGGCCAGGCTCTGTGGGTGCCCAGGCAGATGGGGGCTGTTTGATCAGCGGTTCTGCCTGATGCCAGGCTGCCGGGACAGCGGCAAGTGCCCAACCCGGCCCCACCGCATGCCTTCCGGCCCTCAGCAGTAATGCCATTCATCCTCACTGCTCACACGGTTAGTTACCGCGGGCGGAGGCCGGGCCTCTGGGGGGGAGCAGCAAAGGCCTGGTGGCCAGCCAGGGGCCGCTGAGCCCCCAGGGACCTTGGTCTGCCTTCCCACACCTGGAGAGGGCAAGGAGTGCCCCAGGGGGGCACTGGAGCCAAAACCCAGCAGATACAACTGAACAGACCCGCAGGGACCCTGGGGACAGACCCCTCCTGGGGTCAGAAGGGGAAGGAGGCACAGAGGGGGTCAGATGGGCCCAGGGCCTCCTGGCTGCGGGTCACCCACCCTCAGGCTCCCGCTTTTCCTGAGAGCAGCACCCAGCCCCGCAGCCCTAGTCGGCTCGGCACGGGGCCGTGGCCCTCCTGTCCCTGCGGCCTGACCCAGGCTGTCCAGGGAGGCCTCAGGGTCTGTGTCCAGCTTCCACCAGTGGCCCTTGCCAGATGGGGACAGGCTAAAGGTTCCTGTAGGTTCAGCATGGCAAGCCCCTCCCCTCGCACAGCGCCAGCCCAGCCCGCACAGAGGGGCGAGGGGGAGCGGGGCTGGGCTGGGCCTCGGTGGGCCTCTCAGGCATCTCCCCGCCTACCCCAGAGCTGCAGAGACTCCGCACACTCACTTCTCTGATTCCAGCTTTATTGGAGCCGAGCGCTCCCCTCTCAGGGAGGCCAGACACAGCCCATCAGAACCCCAGCAGCTCTCCTGAAGTGAGGGCACTGTGGAGACACGCAGCACCTCGGCCACCCCCGTCCCTGCCTGGGCCACGCTGACACCCCACCCCCACCCAAGGGAAGGGCTGCTGCTGACAGACTGTTAGGGGGCGGCGGGGTCTCGGCGGCGGCACCTCGTAGCCGAGGGACAGTGCGCGTGACTTGGTGGCATCAGGAGCCCCAAGGGTCCAAGGGTCTGTTTCAAGCAGGAGGAGGAGGCTGGCTCGGGGACAGCGCGGCCACCCCCGCCCCCCAGCACCCAGTGTAGGTCACAATAATTTAAAAGACACTATAGACATTTCGACGCTATATAACAATATAAGTTAACCAGGTTCCTTGGCAGAAGATGCTAGGCCTGTGGACTCGGGGGTGTCCTGGGACCCGGGATCGGGGGTGAAGGGGACTGGGGGGCATTCACAGTGGCCTGGAAGCTCCCAGGACAGCCGCTGTTGGTGGAGCGTCCTGGCATCATCCGGGCAGGTAGGGTGGACGCCAGGGCCAGGGCCCAGGGTCACTCACCCCAGGCTAATGTCTGGCCCACTTGGCTGGTCAGTAGCCTGAAGACACATTTCCACGGGTTTCTGTGAGAAAACACCCTAAATTCAGAGCAGGGACAAGTGCATGGGCAGTGGTGCGCCAGAAGCATGTGCACACCAGCCTTTCTGGGCCCGGACAAGTTGTGCCTCAGTCTCCCCAAGGTGGGTGGGAACAGTGTCAGAGGACACGTCCAGTGCCAAGTCCCCAGCCCCCAATCTCTCCCTATCCCGCACACAGTTTAAAACCAAGCAGGACCCCTTTCCATTCCCGTCTGCCAGGTTTCGGGGTGATTCAGACCTCAAGGGAGGGTCTGCGTGGTATGGGGACCACGGGGGAGTGTCTGCTGGCACAGCAGGTGGGAACCCAGCGGAGCAACGCCCTATCTGAGTTTTCTCAGCATCCGGGCCAGGGCGAAAGGACCAGGATTGGGCAAGAAGACCACAGGAGAAACTCAAAGGCACCTCGAGGCGGGGCGTGAACCCCAGTGAGGCTGGCAGCGGCGGGGAAGAGCG